GAGCCGCCTCTGCGAAGAAACACCCTCCTATTCCAAGCCAAGGGACGTCCGGCAGCGCTCAACGCGCGCAACGTCCAGGGCCTTGGTCAGGATGTCCGCCGGCATGTTCTCAGTGCCCACAAACTTGGTAGCGAGCATCTTGGCCTTGACCTGATCCCTGAGCCAGAAGAACCGCAAATCCAGGTGCTTCATCCGCCCATGGTGCTCCGGGTTCTTGGCCACGCTGATCGCGCTCTGGTTGTCCATGTGCAGCACAGTGGGACCGGCCAAGGTGTACCCGAGCTCAGAGAGCAGGTTCCGCATCCAGACAGCCTCCCTGCCCGCGTCTACAGCCGCAATGTACTCCGCTTCAGTCACGTTGCCGGCCGCGTCAAGGCCGGCATGAGCCTCATCAAGGAGCGCATGCCCTCCGGCTTCACTATGGACGACCTGGACAACGAGTTGGTCGTCATGGGCATCATCCGCGCGCTGTCTGGCGACGAGACGTGCTGCACCCTTGTCACTGCGCTCATGAACTCGTCAGACCTCTCCAAGGTGGCGGACCTCGAGGACAAGCTCGTCACTGAGGACAACCAGCGCGCGCACAACCCCAAGCTCTACGGCCTTGAGGAGGGACCCGAGGGCGTTCTCCTCGCGGCAGGAACACTCGCGCAGCGCGCCAACGCGGCTCAAGCAGCGCAACCGGCGTCTTCTGGCAAGAACAAGCGCTCCAAGGGCGGTAATACCGCCTCTGGGGGCGCATCCGGCTCTGGCAACGGCTCTTCTGGCTCCAGCTTACTCGCATCTTGCATGTACCTCAGTTATGTGCCAACCTGCTGTCTGTGCTATATCTATCGCTGACGCGGGCGCGTAGGATGATATGAGCGACCTGAAGTATCCAAGTGGCGACAGCTCGCCCGCCATACGTCTAAGTCTCACTACCCTTCCCAAATCTCACTCACACATATGGTTTAGGGCGGCTCCCCAGCCGACATCGACATCCGCCCCCCCCATCGCTGTTCGAACGCCCAAGCCCGCCAAACTACCCTCGCCCTCATCCTGCCCCCTCCTATCTATGAACAGAAAACCGAACATCCTGCCCAACACACCTCCCCCGCCCACATCGCACTCTCACTCAAACAAGGCGCCCGCGCGCCCGACGTCGCCCATGCTCGGCATCTTTGGCATATGTCCCCTCCTTCTCTCCTCTCTTTACACATCGTACTCATCATAAATGTATGTGTTGTATAGTCCACGGCCCGCTTGCCCTCGCCGCCGCGCCGCAAAAAAGAACCGCTCTTCCTCTCGCCCACGCCCTAAGTGTTGATAGCACATCAATTACTCCTGTGAGCGGTGCACTCCTGTGTATATCTAGTCATTGTCATGTAATCCCAGTCTCTTATATAGATATTCCTATATCACTTCTTGTCATGGTACCTTCATGTGAGCTGTTGACTTTCACTTCGAGGATCAGCTGGTGAGTGCAATACAAAAAGTGTGGTGAGTTCCAATGACATGTGCACATTGTCTTCTTGCCTCTTCGGGTATCTAGCACATCTAAACCCTGCCAACTGTAAAGTACATCTAAAGCCGGCATATAACCACTACAGTGTAAGCATTGGCCACGTGGATCTACAATCTGCCACCAGACTAACACATCAGTGCAAGTCTAGATGACTGTGATCATACCCTAGGTGAATGCAGATTTATCTACCAGATACACCATCTTTATAGCAAGTTATAGTGTTGTCACGACTCTGACAACCACATCATTTCATTGGCAATCACCTCTTGCTCAACCACCCTCATCCACCTGAAGCTGTAGAGTGATTGTCCTGAGCTGCGCTGATAGATCTGTCACGTACATAAGGTACTGTCCACTTACAGTCCATCTTTCCCAGCATGCAGCAATTTACTTCCAGACCCTAGATCTGGCCTGTGCCATCGCTTAAGTTAGGGTCCGCTGTTTGCGGAGGATCTGTTGTAATAATTTTCCAATCTCCCAGCTGGTGCGTAAGCCAAGAGTTGTATTTGTTCTTAGACAATTTTTCTCATGTGTGTCGCACATGTTGAATTCTGGCTCTCTATTCTGATTTCTTTCGTTTCGTGTTCGTGATTCGCTGTCTCCTGCTNACGCGCCTGCACACACAGAGCAAGCTCCCTTCTCTCTTTTCCCCCACTTGCTTATTCTCTGTGTGCTGCAGGTATGTACTTAGTTCCTTTTGCTATCTCACTTGCTTATTCTCTGTGTGCTGCAGAGTGTTGTGCTTCGTTCCTAGGCTGCGCATTCAACAGTCGGTCAACTGATGTACACTGAGGATCAGATCGAGCAGGACAAACCTGGCGCGACGGTGATACCACTCATCATATCGTCGGACAAGACTCAGCTCACGCTCTTCCGCAATCGGTCTTGCTACCCCGTCTACCTTACGAGCGGCAACATCCCCAAAGAGCTGCGCCGCAAAATGTCGCTTCAAGCTCAAGTCCTCCTAGGATATCTCCCAGTCACGTGCTTGTCCGGAATCAAGAGGGAGGACGTGTGTTGACGCGCGCAGGCCGGTCTCTTCCACGACTGCCTGCGTGACATGCTCAAGCTGCTGCGCGATGTGGCCAAGGACGGCGTCATTCTCATGTCTGGTGATGGCACATTGCGCCGCTGTCACCCCATTCTCGCTGCATACGTCGGCAATTATCCCGAGCAAGTTCTTGTCACGGGCGTAAAATACGGTACCTGCCCCAAGGATACCATCAACCCTTCTCAATTTGGCACGAAGGAGCCCTGCGAGCTGAGGGACATCAACGCCATTGCCGAAGTGCTATCCCTGGCCGACGCCAAACTAGAAGACGGGGATCTCGCGGCTTATGTCCAGGCATGCTAGGATGCGGGGATCAAGCCCATACAGTCGTTCTGGAAGGACTCCCCCTATGCCGACATCTACATCGCGCTGCTGCCGGACATCCTGCACCAACTCTATCAGGGTGTGATCAAGCATCTCATCTCTTAAATGAAGCATGTGTACGGCGTGAAGGCTCTGGATGCGCGTTTCAAGTGCTTGCCTGCAAACCATCAGCTACGCCAATTCACTAAAGGCATCTCAGGCATGTCCCGCGTTTTGGGAACCGAAAATCAAGACATCGCGCGGGTCCTCCTCGGAATAGTCATTGACGCACCGCTTCCCTACAACACCCATAAGAAGTGCATGTACAACTGCGTGCGCGGACTTCTCGACTTCACGTATATTGCACAACTTCCGGAGGCTACGGACATGAGGCTTTGAGATTTTCAGGCCGCGCTCAAACTGTTCCACGATAACAAGAAGATCTTCTCCGACCTCGGCGCCTGCAAACACTTCAACCTTCCAAAGGTTCACGCCCTCTTCCATTACTTCGAGTCCGCCCGGCTTCTCGGAACTGCCGACAACTTCAATACAGCCTATTCAGAACGACTCCATATTGACTATGCAAAGATGGCATGGCGTGCGTCGAACCGCAAGGACGAATACCCTCAAATGACGCTGTGGCTCCAGTGTCGGAAACAGATCCGGGCTCACCAGATGTACATCCAATGGCGACTACAAGGACGACCTCCGATTGAGAACATGGCTCAGGCGCCACTGCCTTGCGCACCCAAACTCAAGAGGATGATCCCGCGCTATCCGAATGTACCATCGCTCTCCTTTGCCAAGGCTGAGAGCCGGTACGGTGCCGAGGACTTCGAATCAAAGTTGAAGGAATGGGTGCTGAAGGAGCTCAATCCGGCCACACCGGATTGAATCATCGCGCAAGCCGCGAAGCACTGGGTACCGCCCTTCCGCTCCATCAGCGCGTATCATCGCCTGAAGTTCTGGCACAGCGACGCCCAAGAACGCGAGGGGGACCTATTGCAGAAGACCCCGGACTCGACCTCAGCACGGCCTGCCTATTGCGATACACAACGGAGGACGGTGACAGGCAGATTTAACACGGCGCTCATCAACGAGTACGGCAAGGATAAACACTTAAGTGTTAAAGGCGCGTCTATCATTGTATCCTCGCCTCCCCTCCCACCGCGCCATTCGAACGGTAGTACTCACGTATTGTTTGACACCACAGGAACCCATCCACAGTCCTCCACCCTTGCCTGGCGTTTGTCTGCACTATGCTGATCTTCATGTCACACAGGCTACCAAGTAGGCCAAGTACGACTTATCTTCAGCATATCCGAGAAGGCGCGGGAGCAAATATTTGGGAATCAAGCGGCGAATGTTCCAACACATCTCGCCTATATCGAAAGGTTTTCCACCTTCCCCGCGCGCCCAGTGAAGGATATCGAACTCTATCGCATCAAGCACGAAGTCATCCAAAAAGAGCGCCTCGTGTCCATCCTCCCCATCGAGCCCATCCGCCGCAGCGTCTCCCTCTTCCCCCACTTCGGGAGGAAGCTCAACCCCACCTGGACCGCCGACAACGTACTTGAGGTTTGCGACACGTTCTACGTGAACCCTTTCTCGGACAAGCACGCTTATGTAATGATTGTACAGTTAGAAATTGTGTTCACTTGTATTTTTTACCTTGTTTCAATGATACTGTGGTTCTCCCTCTTACTAATCGGAATAAATGAACTCTCTATCACACAGGTGAGTGTGTAATGTCTAGTAGCGTAGCTGACCAGCCCAACGTCACACAGTGTGCGCGCCGAGGGCGCGTGGGAACAGGACACATTTGCACGCCGCACCGTGACTTGACCGCTTGCGCCAAACCACCACCACCGTTCCAACCCCTTCCTCTTCCTTCACCACCATTTACTCGCATATCCCACCGGCAACATACTAATCTGACTGAACAGGTCAGCAATCCACCTACGGCACCCGTGAATCGTCAACGTGTTCTCTTGCACTTGGTTCTTGACCAGTGCAACGCGATTGGCGGTGAGCGGTCTCGACCACTCAAGACTACCACTCGGATCTATCCCGTGGTACACTATCAAGATCGTTCGCGATGAACCCGCCCAACGTATCCGTCCAGCATCCGGCGGCAAATAATACCGCCCTGCCTGTGCCCACACCGTCTGTCTCGCCTGCGTCCACACCATCCGCCCCGTGCAAGAAGCTCCCGAAGTTCAAGAAGAACAAGGGGGTTGCTGCACCGCAACCTGCATCCAACACCACTGCCACTCAGGCTCGGGCGCCCAGTCCACCGACTGTCAGCCTCGGCACGCCGCAACCCACGCCACCCTCGTCTCGGGCCGCCCGGACGATTCCCGCTGGTTACAAGTACGCCGTCGAGTGGGGTCAATCAATCCTCTTCGAGTACAACACCGACTATATGCCACCCTATGTGGGCGAAGCGGTGTTCAACGGCGAGGTCGCGGATGACGGCCTTTTCCACGCCTTCGAGTACATACGGCAGCCTATGCTGTATGATGAGCTCTCCCCACAGCTCCTGTTCACTTGCGTGCCACGATGCGGGCACAAAGACACGGATGAGTTTCACGCGGCCTGGCATGAGGACTGGGATGAGGAAAGACTGCTTCCTGTGGCCGAGCAGAAGAACCGGCGGGTGGCGAGGGACAAAACCTTATTGGGAGAGCTGATCAAAGTCGGTTTCTTCTCAAGGAAGAAAGTGCACGATGTTGAGCGCATGCGCGTGCACGACCTCAAGAACAATTACCAGGAGGCCGTGACGCTTTTGCAGGAGGTTTGGCACAAGGGAAGCTTGAAGAAGGGCGACGCTGGATGGGAGGTGCTCGAGAAGATGCGGTTGCCGGGTACCATCGTGTCCACAATGTGGAAGGCATGGGCGCGCATGCACTGGTTTGGTGTTCTTACAGACGCGGAGGCAGAGATGTGCCATCGCGTCTATCAATGCACCGCCCTCGAGGTCGACGGCTGGCTCGACATAGTGGCGTCTTTCCTGCGACTCTTTGTCCGTCAACGCCCCAACCATCCACTCTACCGCCGTCTCAGTTTGGGACCGTCGGAGTGCCGAGGGGCTATCTTTGCAGGTGACGACATCGACGCGTACCACGCCGTTTACTCTGCACTCAAAGTGCCAACGTACGTCAACATCGCACGCGCGGACTTGGACTCGGGGGTAATGAGCGGCATCAAGTTCAGCAAACCCGATGCTCTACGGTGCTCCTCCACGATCAGTATAAAGCTTTGTACGTATCAAGATGCTCTACCTTTTTGATTGCGATGGCTTATCAGTAAACAGCCACGATCAAGCAGAAGACCCTCCCATTCATGTGGTACCCGCCACTACAAGCGCCGTGGGCCAAGTTCGAGGCACAGGCTTGTGGGTATGCGCCGCACGCAGAGTCGGAGGAGACCTTCAAGCCTGCTGACGTGGTATTGAGTCTCAAGCGCAAGCTTGAGAATGTTGATCAAAGTGAGTAATCATTATCAAGTCTCTATCCGAGCATAACTAACTATCTACTTAGACAAAAAGCGAATCAGGCTGGCTCAGGAAGTCCAACAAGAGCGCCGTGACGAGGCCTTCCACCGCGTCTGCGGTGACATCGGGACCTCGAGAGAGCGCTACATGCTCTACGCGCAAGTTTTACCCGCCTTTCGCCACCAGTTCGATCGCCTGTCTCAAGCCCGCCCCAAGTAGATGCCCCACGTATAGCCGCTGTACAACCTGGCCAAAAGACAAGTCCTCGCGCACGCCCGGCTCTGCGCGGTCAACCAAAAGGGCGAAGGGATATTGTGGAGCTATCTCCCGCCCTGGCAATACATCACAGGCGGTGCACCCAAGCGGCAAGCGCGCATGCTCGTAAACATCACGCACGCGTTGCCCATTCTCCTCCTGCGCATCAAGCTCGCAGAGAACAACAAAAACATCATGCGCTTCAGGGGGAAGGGATGGCGCAAGTTTGCCGCCAAGGTCGTCACAAAGGAGGAGCTCTGGGGCGAGAAGGGTGGGAAGATGAATGGGTTGGAGCTTCTGGGCGGCGAGGACTTTGAGGAACTACGGAAGCTCCCGGATGGGCTTCGGATGTGGGGAAAGCTCCCCTGTGGGCACGACGCGATGGAGGAGCGGTTGATGGACGAGCAACTAAGAGGTAGCCTGTGCTACTCCCTCAATCAGTGGCTCCTCCTCTTCGCCCTGTGCGACATCGCGTCTCCTGACGGTATGGAGGCGGCGCGAATTCCCGAACTGTCCAACAAAGGCAGCAAGCACCGGGTGCCCGACTTGATGGATCACGACCGTGAGAAGAACTGTCCCGTTCTGAAAGCGGCGCGCAACATCGCCATGCTCAGCAAGCCGATTAACCGGGATGGGTGGCCGGAACCGTGGGCTCCCGACACTCTCAACGTCAAGGACCGGCGCAAATGGTTGAAGTCATTCGCCATGTTGCTCGCCAGTGCCAAGGATTGCGAGTTCCTGGATTCGTACACGCAGAGGCGCACCAACGAGGCGCATGTCTGGGACGAGTGGGCACTGGGTAATCTCCTGCGCGATGTCAACTCATTCCAGCCGCTCCCGCCGGAACGGGAGGAGTCGCTCGAGGACCACCTGATGCTCCGCTACATGCTCATGTTGCTGAAGTCGCTGAAGCAGTGGCCCATCGAGTTTATGGACCGGCCGCGTGGCGGCCTGCACAAGTGTGTGACGTGCCATGAGGAGGATCAGAAGAAGTGTCTAGAGGAGCGCGGGACACTAGGGGAGCAGGACATGGTGGAGAGGTTTGAGGAGGAATGGGATCTCAGTATGCCAGGCGAAGGGGACCTCTCGGACGAGAATTAGTGGTTCGTCTGTCATTACCGTCCTAGCAGACATACACTGACTTCCCTTTCACAGGGAGTCGGACTCTCGCGCTGCTCTTCAAGCGCCTCCCTCCGACAACTTCGCTGCCCGGACATATTCAAGTTGTCGTTCCCGCGAGCGAGGCCGGCGCGCAGCCTAGCTCCCTTGCGTACCACTTCCCACATCACTCGGACTACTACCACCCTCTCCCGGAGCCTCAGACCAGCCCGACTATGCCTCGTTTTTTTGTATATTCTTGCTATTATCATACTGTCGGGCTGTCTTATCATACTATCCTGTACTTATATCACACTTTGCAATACATATGTAGTACTACAGTTCTCGCTCTCAAGTGTGGCGCACGAGCTACCGAATCACCGAAGTTAAGTAGCATTATTCAATGATGAGAGAACTAACGGTTTTGTGTTAGTACATGGGGTGTACAGGACTATCTAAGGACTTATCGTGAGCGCCACAAGTGTGTCCACGACTTCCCACAAGTTCCGATTGAGCGGGCCACAAGCAGCGACCCTCATGAACCCGGGGGAGCTCTCATGAGCTCTCACAAATATTTTCGCCACGAGAGGGCCATGAACGAGTGCCAAGCGCCAGCGAGCACCTAGGCATTTTCCTGATGACAATTTACAGATGCCAGAGTGCTTGTTGCACCAGTCACTGTGGCGTGTGTCAAATTGGCTGTACTGAAGCTCGTTGTAAACATACCCTTTCTGGCAGTACTTATTGCAATAGGCAGGCTGCTTGCACCCCTTACAAGCATGACACTTTGGCAACGTGGTCAAGTCTTCACCGCAGTGTGCACAGCTATGAGCACGGTTGGCCCAGACGCTGCCAACAGGCCGCAGTGCAAATAGTTGGTGCAATGACAGATCACAAACAAGCACATCCAGTTCCGGCCTAGAAGGAGGCGTCTGCATCGGGCCCTCAGGGAAGAAGAGCAAGAGCACGTATGCATGCTGTTGAATCATCCCATTAAAGCTGGGAACAGACCACTCTGCCAGGTAAAGGACACTGAGAGGAGGGTAGTAAGTCTTCAGGCCAAATCTCTCTTCCAAGAGAGAGTAGACAATTCAAAGCCAGAACCTGGCGGAGGTCCGACTGGTCTTCTGGAACTAGACCGTGTCTGTGAGATGGGAAAATCTGTGACAGCAGTGGTGAGTTCAATATCTAAACTGCATGTGCAGAGCTTGGCCGGCTTATGCTTGGTGGTACAAGACCATTTGTAGAGCCTCAGTGGTGAAGTCTATTATCTCTGGCTGTGCGTTGGCGATGTGCCGAAGGTTGTTTGATCCAACGACGACCTCAGCCATTCAGTTCATAGAAAGCATGGTGAACAGGAGGTCCTTGATAGTGTTAAATGTCGTGTGGTTCTGGCGAGTTGCTGTTTGGGATTTGATGGCCGGGAGTTGGTATAGCTGGAATAACCTCATAGCTGTTGGAAGTAAGAATCTCTATGCCTGACAAGACATCAATGTGTCAACATACGCGCTAACTCAACTCTAAGTAGCCACATTGCCGATACGCACCTCAGGCTGCTGGATGACACGATCCACCAGGGCTGTGAGCACCATGTCAAGACAGGGATATGGCGAGTTCTTTCGAGGGCAAGTGATGTCGTGCAGCTTAGCCTCGCAGCACTCAACATGTGCTAGGTGCACTAAGTAGACAAGAAGAGTGAGAAGACTTTTGTCCTGGGTAGCAGCCTGAACACCGGACACAAAGTTGATCACGATAGAAACAAAGGAAGTGTGCTTAGCAAATATAGACCTCATATTTGCAAGTGCTGAATGGGGGTGGGGGAAAGATAAAAGCAAGTCAAACATGCATGGCAGCCGCTGAGAACAACCCCGCGTAAAATATGCGCAGCTATCCTCGCACCCTCATCAAAGTTTCTAGTGCTTATTACATATTAACACCTCCCGCTAACTCTCTCCAAGTATTTTGACCACTCTTGCGTTGAATACCTCCGTCATTCATGCATTTATGATTTCAGTTTCACCAAGGTTTCACATCTTTCAAGGGTTGCGCCAATGCAGGATCAATATCATTTACGTGCAACTGGAATCAAAGAACCACTCTATACTAGTCTAAACTGGGAAGTTTGCCAAGATGTCTAGTGACAACTGAGCAATTGCATGGCAAACTGCAGGCTTCTCCTCCTGCACAGCAACAAAACACCACACTTTGCACGTGTTCTTGTGTATAGTGGACCAGTCGCTAGGTGTGATGAAGCCCAGTAAGAAAAGGTGTTTGGTAAGAGAAGTGTTCCATCACTCACTGCTTTTAGCATTGAGTACTGCAATAGAGCATGTGCCCGCAGCCCTTACACTGGCGGAGTCCCTTTCTGCCTTTGAAAATCTGGGTGCAGGGGTGACAAAAGTCTTCGCCTCTGGCCAAACTTTGAGGAGTGACCTCAGTGCATGTATCTGCACGGGCAAAATTGCCTTAACGCACTCAGTGCTAATATTGCCCCCCCAGTCATTCACAAGTAGACCCACATACAATGACTGCATGTGAACACCGTGGAAGGGATGGGTAATGCCCTCAGCTTGACTGAGAATCGTGATGGCTCTCACGTTGGGCGGTGCAATGACCACGTGATCAGGAGAGAGCTCTTGGTAAACGAGTGCAAGGTACTTGGCACCGGCCTTATGATGCATGCCTTCCAAAAAGAAACATTCAGACAGCCCGGTAGCACTACAAAGTTTGAACAGAAGCCATGCAAAATGTGCGGGCTGGACATACTTTTGTGCTAGGACCCCAGCAAGAAGCTGCTGCGAAATGAATTGTATGCCCATCAAGCAAACAAGGGGGAAGAACGCTTCGCACTGGTTTGTGAAGATAGATGTGACAGCCCTGTCTAGTGGTTTTATGTATTCTCTGTAGGTGTCTAGGATGTCTTGTGCCGTCTCCAGATTGCCATGCTCTTTGTAGACTGCATCGTTGTGGGTAAACACAAGCTGGATGATAACTGAGAACTAGAGGGACCAAGTCTGAGTAATAGCAGTTAGTAGTGCAGCTAGGAAATGAGTAAATAGAACTGACATCGGGGTCTTCCATTATATAAGAGACTTATGAGCCAAAGGAGGCCGAGCATTGATGTCTTGAAGCAAATAGCAGTGGTGTAAACGTCCGCAGGAGGCATAGGTTCGTCCCTGTGAGTGTTGATAAAATAGAGGGGCTACAAGGCAATGTCAATGTTGTCTACTTCGACAGGTCAGCACAGAGCATTGGCGCACATGTCATGAAGATACTCCAACACGTCAATGACGGCGGGAATGGCAGGGCTCCAGCCAACCATAGAGGAGGGCGTAGGTAGTGGTTTGAGGATGTATAGAGCAGGCTGAAGTGACGAGGCACTGAAGATCTGGGAACCAAGCTCACTTCCTTAAATACAGCCCCAGCAGGCCAAAACAATCCAAATGTCTGAAAGGTTGGGTGGAAAGTTATCAGCTAAGTCACGCAATGAAGACAACGGGGCCGTGGCTGTTTGTCAAATATTGTAAACTATGGCAATGGGGGAAAACTGATGTGCTTTTAGCAGTGGCAAATAACCTTGTTGTTATAGAATAAGGGGGCCATGGTAATTGGCATCTGTTATTTAATGATAGCATGGTAAGCTTAGTTTTGTTTTGTTTTTTTGATGGCATGGCTGATGCCTTGGGGATGCTTGGGCCAAACAGCCACATGCTGTGGGTCCCCAATTAATGCTCGGGGTCCTCGGGCATGCCTGGGGACCCACGGACCCACCAATTAATCTAATTTGCTGCCCTGTCCATCAATCAGCCTGCTGGCTGGCCTGGCTGCCCCCCCCACTGTACCCCTGCCCCTGACTCCCCTGTAGGTACTGTATTGTGTACTCCTATCTTATATATATCCACCTATGCCCTGTATATACTGTAGCATCCTGTACAGAGCCAATAATAAATTCACATCTTTTGGATTGCCAGCTCATCAGCAGAACTGGTAGATTCAGTACATGTATGACTAATTGTCATGGTGAGCCAATAGCATAGGGAATCAGCATCGTAGATCAGTACTTACCTTGATTATCTGTGAGAAATCTGTTCCGTATTTAGTTAATTACTGATGGGGGCTTAGGGACTAGAAGCAGATACCCAGTACTCAATAACCGCTAGACAGATTTTCCTGATTCTTGAACTGGGAGTACCTGTACGCTAACACATCAGACTCCGGTACCTGTGCTTGGTGTAGCGTACATTATCACAGTGAGTACCACACTTCTCTGGTTTCTGGTTTCCCACCTTGGTCAGAATTCCAGCATTTGACCGCTATAGCTACAGCAATGTGCAGCTCAAATATAAGTCCTACATATGTAATGTAGCTACTGTACGTACCACATGACCCCAGCTGCTATGGATACAGTGCAGTGCTCTTCACAGTTTACTGTAAGAACTCGATCGGTTCGTACAGTAACGTGTAACACAGCCCAATTTTCGTCCATTGTAATGGTAATACTCCGGTTTGTACGAAACTATTATTTAATTGATTTTTCTCAGATTTTTTCCCTAGGCCCAGTACAGTGTTTTTGTCTCGTACCCAGAGTCTGCAGGGTTGTACATGGCCGCAAATGTACCTCACACCACTTTTGGGGCCCAAGAGCAACCCAAAACTAGGGATGAATAACCGACTTGGATGAACTTCGGCCACATATAACGGTAACGAGGGCCGGTGTACGAGTCCTCAGGTTTGTCCAGGCATGTAATGGTAACATGGGCTGTACCAACCGATCGAGTTCCTACAGTATCCTGTCTTTATCTACTGAATGTAGCTCTACCCTCCTATCCCTTCACTAAATATAGCCAATCTGAGTATTGTAAAAGGTGTACCATCTGAACCTCTGCTATCCCACTAAAGTGCTAACATACTAACACGTTAACCAAATAAGCCCACATTACGCTGTGTCCTAACGTTCTAAATCCTAATGGTTCTAAAATTAGTGCATTTTAGTGTATTTTATGGCAGTTAGGGGCATTAAATAAGTTCAGATAACAATACTATTTCTAGTGTTTTGGGCTATCCAACCTACCCATACAACCTCTGATACTAGTATGATAGGCTATATATAATTTATTTGCATTTCACTGGTGATATTTATATTTTATTTAAAGTACATACTATACATCAATAGAATCATCTCGATGAGGGAAAACAAATTACGAGTCATCCCTGACTCGTTGATTTACCATGGACCTGAAAAACCGTGCCTGAGTGATTGGCAACTTTAGGCAGGAGTGTCCCACGCTTCACACGTGCCGCAACCTTCTGCTTAATCTGGAAACCTTTCCTACGGGCTATACTTGAGACTTAAATCTCAACTATATACTTGAGTCTATGAGTGTACTAATCTGATCTGTTATCTTATCTGACTGCATGATCTATAAGAGTTGGCAGAATGAGAATTACTGAGGGAAAGGCTGAGGAAAAGGGAGTGCCAATATATATACTAGTTGCTCCTACCAAGTGCCTGCTTGCCACAGCCTCACCATCAATCCGGAGCTCGGCCATCAGCTCACCAGCCTGCTCTCTGCTCTCAACCTCCTACTGGCTAGGTCTAGTGGCTATACTATACCTTATTGATTTAGACCCATCTGGCACTCAAACTGACACATTTTATTATGTCATTTTGAATGTGAAGGGATTAGAGCAATCCGGTATATACTTGCAGCACTAGAGGCTTTGGACAGTCCCAGCTGGCAGTCTGCTTGGGGCTAGCATCTGGGTTTGGTATGTATCTGTGGTCAGATTCCTCTGTTCTTGTGGGAATACCTGCTTTTATGTACATAGTATTTGATTCTGAATTTTACAGGAGCATGCGGGTGCTGGTTCCCATATGCTCCCATAATCTCTCTGGGCCCATCTGCTCCTCCCCTCCTCTAGCCACTATGTGGTTTCCTACCGCTACCTTACACTGTTGAGTGGTGTATAGGGGTTTTTTGATACAGGGAATACAGCTGTGCTATCCGCTTAGTGTGCTAATGCTTTGTTCTTGAGCTTTGGGCATATCACCCCCACATGCTCCTCCCCTTTCCAAAAGAATCGTCAGCTAGATTACTTCAGAAATTATGTTTCTAGGGTTTTTATAGTCTGGAAATATAATGCAACCTATGGCTTAGCTGCCCAAGCTTCCATCACTACATGGTGGGCATAGACATGAGCCAAATGATAGGATTACAAGAATGTTCCCACTGGTCATGGAGTCAAGTAACTCGCGACTCAGTGACCAGTGGAAAAGTTCATGTGATCCCATCAATTTTGAAGTGACCTCTTGTATTGAAAGATCAGGGATAGGTATGAGTAATCCCCATGGTGGGCTCATAGTATTAGAGTATAGGAGCTCAGATCAGCTATGATCCTAGCAAAAGGTTGAGAACTGCACTTGCAATTATGAGTTCTCTGATATGAGGCTAGAGGAGGAGCAGATAGATGCTGTGCAATATCTGCTAGATGAATTGCCTGGATTTTTTAACTGCATAATTATATAGATGTAAAGAGTATAATCTAGTACTAATCAAGCCATATCTAGCTTTCTCGCAGTACACTGCGCATTGTCTACTATTTCAGCTCTCTATCTCACAGAAGGTGCCTGTACTCAATATTCATCACTACAGCTATGACACACAGGTAGCATAAAGCTGCACTCAGTAGAGATCTACTACATGTGGTATTATATATTAGCTGCTCTGTTGCAATACAGTATTTATGTTTTAATTATGTGTATTTAGATGTCACTTACAGTACATATAATATATTATGAGAACTGGGTAAAGTAGGTGCATATTGAGTATAGCAATATGCTATCTGCTTGCCATAGCTATAGTGATGATTGTTCAGTACAGGCACCTTCTGTGAGATAGAGAGCTGAAATAGCAGACAATGCATGGTATATCATGGGAAAGCCAGATACAGCTTTGGTTGGTATGAGAGTCTCCTCTGTACATATACAGAGTTGTACAGTTCAAAAATCTAGGCAATCCATCTAGCAGATATTGCATGGCATCTATCTGCTTCTCCTTGAGCCTTATATTAGAGAACTCACCACTGCAAGTGCAGTTTCCAACCTTTTGCTAGGATCATAGTTAATCTGAGCTCCTATACCCTAATACTATGAGTCTACCATAGGGATTAGCCATACCTATACCTGATCTTTCAATACAAGAGGTCGCTTCAAAATTGATGGGATCATGTGAACTTTCCCACTAGTCACTGAGTCGCAACTTGCTTGACTCTATGACTAGTGGGAAAATTTCTGTGATCCCATCATCTGGGGCAGGGTCTTTAAAATATTAGTTAGAGTATAGAGCACATAGTCTGCTAGGTTAGTAGAGGTTTCATAGGGGTATATAGTTTACAGTATGCCAGGTCTGTGAGGGTATTTGTAGAGGTATGCAGCTAACAATAAGCCAGATATATGCCAGATTTGTAGGGAGTTTTGTAAGAGTATGGTGCCCACAGTATGCAGTGTATGAGCTGGGTCTGTTGTAGTAGCTGGATCTCTTAGTAGGGATATATAGCTTGCAAGATGCTGAGTCTAGCTTTGGTCTACAGGGATATTGGTAGAGGTATATAGCATATAGTATGCCAGATCTCTTCAGGTATTGGTAGGAGAATATAGTCCACAGTATACCTGGTTAGTAGGGGTTTCAGTAGGAAGATATAGCTTGCAGTATGCCAGGTTTGCAGGGGTATTAGTAGAGGTCTATGGCTCGCAGTTCCTCATGTTCATGAGGGTATTGGTAGGAGCATACAGTATGTAATATACCAAGTCTACCCTGGGTTTTCAAAAGTTTTGGTTAAGGGTGTTGAGTTTACGGTTTGTCAGGTATTGGCCAGGTAGGTAGGGGTATCAGTAAAGATACACTGCCCACAGTATACCGGCCACTGGCTGGGTCTGTAAGGGCTTTGATAGATGCTGTCACGCATGGAGCATAGATTGAAGTGGGGGTTGGAAGGGTGAACAGACTAGTCGATGGGTTGGCCGAGGTGAATTAGGAAAAGACGCTTCCCAGATTAGTCGGGTTCTACGAGTGTTCCAGACGTTT